TGATGGACCAAGCACTCCAAGCAACACTAAGTCCCTTGAGGTGCTCAGCTTCGACCATGGCGAGATTCACTTTATTTATAGCCCAAAAGGGCTAAACTAGCCGTTACTCCTTCACAGCAGCGGGCCGGCCGGGCCGAACACATTTTATCCCCTCCCGCAGTAACCACGGTCACTGACTTGACCGGAAAATGTCCGACCGACGCTGAAATCACAAAATACCGACCTATCCGGTCACACTTGATCGGAAAATATGGACACTCATATCAAGTAAGAATTTGAATTATTAGTGGACAAGTTCACCATCACAAATGTGCTAACCACAAGAAATTCAATGAAAATGATTTTGTTTTGTTTGAGAGAGGGACCCAAATATCTTCGCAAACACCACCTTTTGTAAATGTGCCAACACCACCAAGTGTACACCACCATGTGTATGTGTGTTAGCATTTGAATCATTTTGTATTCACTCAATGTGACTCGATCCTAGCGACAATGCAAAGTTAGATCACTCGAGGGCACTAGATGAAAGCAAAAAGTTTGCCCCTCTTGATAGATGGCCATCTATCCAAACCCGGTCAAACTCTTTCAAGTTTGACGGTGAAATGAAATGCCCTAGGTTATATCTCAATTCCATTCCAAGCGATTATTATAAAATGTATTCAATGGTTATCTAATAATACTTGGTTATTAAAATTAAAAATATTTGACTTCTCAGAAAATTAGAATAATAACACTCTCAATAGGACGGTCCATCACTCAAAGGAGTAACCGTCCATCAAGTCTTGATCTTCTCCACCTTGATCACATGACTTCATAATTCATTTGGTATTTCACCTTGGCATATGTTGCTCAAATTACACGTGGACTAATCACTGTATTGCTAAACACAAAACCTAGGTTGGAGCAATTACCAAAACCAATAAGGATGTTGAAATTCAATGTGATTTTGTTTTGTTTTAAATACGGGTCATGTTATGTTAATTGTATTCAAAATGTCAATTGTTCAAGGACCATTTTCAAGACTAGGTTATATCTCCAAATAAGCTTATTATAAAATGTATTCAATGGTTATCTAATAATACTTGGTTATTAAAATTAAAAATATTTGACTTCTTAGAAAATTAGAATAATAACACTCTCAATAGGACGGAGGGAGTACTCATTTGTCCATAATTCATTTGGTATGTTAAGTGCAAATTCTGACTTTGCTAAAAAACAGGAGCAACCAACTGTTCGGGACCATTTTCAGAGCGAGATATAAAGCCAGTACACATGTATGGAGATATACCTTGGAGAGTATCACAATCGCAAGGCGATGCAATAGTTTCTCTCTGCTTTTATCTCCTTTTTTTTCTAGGATAGTATGGGCGAGGATACTGATAAAGGCCAGCAAGACAGCAAGGTTCCAACAAGAAATTAAAAGGCCCTTCCCCACACTTTGGAGTACAAAAGAAAAAGGACTCAATAAACAAAAACAAGGCCAATCAGTGCGCCGAGGTGTCAGGACGATGCATGCTCACTCCAAATTCATGGCCCTGATCATTTTTTATTAATAAGTTATATGAAAAAAGATTGGTGATTTGTTGGGAGAAAAATACTATTGACTGAAAAACCGCTTATAATCCGTGCACCGACTAGACTGATGACCAACAAGCGTACGCGTGAACCAATCTGATAATAATGGCGATCAGAAAACTCCCCCAACTAACTAAGCCGTGTCCCGCTTAATTTAGTAATTTTGTTCTGGCCGGCTGGCGCGTTCATGGCACTCGCGCGCGGTCGCGTGCACTGGCATGGCGACACTTGTGGCGCCCTCCGGGCTTCCTGCGCGGAGATGGGGAGTAGGAGTGTAGGACGAGGAAAAAGATGGATCGGTGGTGGTCTGGTACTCTCCGCTCCATTTGAAGGAATCTGCCGAGTTGGTTCTGTCGTCAGTTAGCTAAAGTCCTACTATCGCGGGAGAATATGGATGGATGTTTTTATTTTTGCTGATTTGCTTTTGTTTTTTGGGTTGGTTCTTTCCTTGGATTCAGATTTGCGGCACGGATGACTGATCATGAAGTCAGTGTTTACATTGAAGCAAAGTGAATAATAGTTTTTTGTGCTCTTTTTCAGAATATTCCAGATTTCAACCTCTCTTTAGTAAAGAAGCCTCAAACTCCACTATAACAAATTTGTGCCTATAAACCAAAACGTTTACCAATACAGATATTAAAAGCATCGTAAGGAACCGCATGGCCTTCGACGCTATGAGTTTCCATGAGTTCACCAAACTCTTCTTTCGGTCATCAAATACACCGCAACAAAGCTGATGACCGAAGCCAATGCATTGCCCTAAAACAAACTTAGAAAAGAAGCTTGATTCAATGAGTCAAATCTTATTCAGTTATACCCAGCAAACGGTAGCAACTCATCAATAACAAAATGTTTTGGCTTCAACCCCACGACTTAATTACTATGTGTTTTCTCCTCTTCTTCTTGGGCCTGTTTGGAACCGTGGTCGTGCTTCCGTGGCCGTGATATGGGGAATCGGCGGTGTAGTTTATTCATTGATTTTTCTCCCACGGGCGGTCAGCAGATCTTGGTCAGGTTGTTTAGCGAGATTCTTCGATTCCCGCTGCCACCACTGTGAAATAGCGGAAACAAACACACCCTCTATCTGCCTGGGCCAATATGGTAGGAAAAAGAGTCATTAAGTATGTATTCCCTATTTTAGTTTTATCCTAAATCAATTATACTCTAACTTTTGCTAAATTCATAGAAATATATCAACATCCACAATGCATGGTCGATCTACTAAAACTAATATGATGCTATGGTTATTGGTACATTTTTCTATAAACTTTGGTAAAAATAGAGAAGTATGACTTAAGATATAATACTAAAATTGAAGAGGAGAAGTGAATATTCACTAGAATATCTAGTGAGCATTTTTAATAACTAAACACTACTAAAAACTAATTTTTGCATGTTTCAATCTGTTGAGCTAGGTTTAAAAATTATTAATGGTTTTTGAAAGCTGTTGATAGAATGTCAAGAACTATTGAACTATGTATGCAATTGCTAAGACGTTTTAGGAAATTGTCGTGTGGTTTTCAAAATGCTGTGATTCATTTGAAATATAGTTGGAGTTGGAAGTTGCAACACAAGAAAAGTCGGAGTTCAATCAACCAAAAAAAAAAAGGAAGGACTCTTTGTTTCGAGAGAAAGAAATAGATGTCGGAAGGGACCATCCAGCCCATGTGTGAGTCGACTGACAATACTTTCTATTGGGCCGAAAGGATGATATGCCCTACGAGTTATCGAATGGGCTAGCGCAGCAGCCACTTGCTGGCCCGATGGAGTTATCGACACAGATGTACTAACATAAAGCATCATAAATAAAAATTGGTCGTAACGGGGATGTAGCTCAAATGGTAGAGCGCTCGCTTTGCATGCGAGAGGCACGGGGTTCGATCCCCCGCATCTCCATTTGTTTTTAACTTTTTAATTTTTAATGTTTTTGGTCATTTCTGGCCGTCTCTATGCCAGAGGTTTCTGCTAGAAACCATCTTCGTTGCTTGTCTCATGAAAAGCACAGGCGACTGTATAGAAGACCCTGAGTTTCCTGTCCTAGTAGGACGTACTCAGATTCAATTCAATTCCAGATGATGCGCTTCCGCCGAGAGAAAAAAAAAATCCAGTTAATAATGGTTGTCTCTGGTTGAGAATAGTCGTTTTCAGATAAAGAAGAAGTGAGCATCCGTAAGTAATCTGTTCCTCTTTTGTGCATGCAGCAGCCAGCAAGCAAATACCGACGCCAGTGATTGAACAGGACGGTTCACTGAGTATCGTGCATCATGTTACCTTGTCAAGGTGTCTGAATGCCCTACAGACGTTTTCAGACGCGAGCGTGACTAGTAGGAAGAAACCGACGCCGTTTTCATACCATTGAGTTCATCGAGCAGTAACAGAAGTGAAACCTGGTTATCCTGGAATTACAGAGCTTCTGTTCTCCTCTTTTTCACTTTCCGGCAAACAGATCGTGTTGCAAAAGGAGATGAAAAAAAAGATGAAAGAAAAATACAGAGGAATTGGGGACAGAGACAGTGAGTGGAGAGGGCCTTTCACTTTTTACCCCTTTTTCTCGTTTTTGTGAGATTCATCGCCTCTGTGCTTTGCCCGCACCCCGAAGAGATCACGATTCGCGTCTCGGTCGTCACCTTTGACTTCCGGTGGGAACGCATGAGCTCAACCGAAGATGGGCGAATTCGCTACGCCGTTCTGGCTGCTGGCTGCTATCTGATCTGCACTCTGAAACATTTCCCAGGCAATAGAAAGCGATGGTTCGGGGCTGTGTACACGAGGACTTTCGGTCAGACAGACCATACTTGCACTGTTCACGAGTCAAGACCGCCGATGTAGCAGTACTGGCTGCTCTCAATTAACGATCGGCTGTGGCACGTCCTAAACGATGCAAAATTTCCAGCCGAACCGTAAATTTCCAAACCGAAATAGTATTTTTCTCTTTCATAAACCAAATTTCCAACCGAAACAGTATTTTTTTCTTCCATAAACCAACCCAACAGTACTATTTCACGAGCCAACCGATCAAAACGAACCAAAGCGGCCAACCGAAGAGGCTGTAGTATGTACTAAAATCCTCTCCATTTAATCCGATTTTTCTCACCGCAGGTCTTGCCTGGTACAATCGGCAGCATGAAAATGGGTACGTAAATCACAATATGGAGCTCAGCGTGTGTTCTCTAGCTAGTTCTCTCATATGCATCTTGCCATGAAAGATGAAACAGTGCAATGACAAACAAGACGAGACGAGGCATAACCGCATAATTACAGCACGGCGCAGCAGAAGCTACAAGAACACAACAGATGCAATGTAATCCTCCATCGCTAGACCGTTGCTTTTGCTAACCTGCCTAGGAAATCAATACCGGTCGCGGGAGTAGTACTCCTACAATACAACTGAAGCGAGCAATCGCTTTGGTAGATTAGTCGGTCGGTCACCGTACGAAGTCGGCGGAGGCGCGGCCGTCGTCGAAGTTGAGCGCGTAGCTGAGGGCGTCGTAGTGGAAGCTGAACCTGCCGCCCGCGGTGCCCCTGCGCCACCTGCCCGCCCGCTCCGACTGCAGCCTCCGGAGGCCCGCGCGCAGCCTCCAGTAGAGGCTCCTCACCAGGTACGACGACGACTTGCTCCTGCAGGCGCCGCTCGGCACCGCCGCGGCCTCGACGGCCACCACCACCGCAGCCATCCTGCTGGTTCCTGGACCAGACGAGGCCGCAGCCAGAGAAGCTTAAGAACAAACGGTGCGCAGCAAGAGAAGCTAGCTAAGCTCTGCGCGCCCTGCCTGCCTGCTCCGGCCTGCCCCTGCTGGACACTCCTTTTGCTTGGTGAGTTGGTGGTGCAAGGCCCGCAGCGTTGGTTTGTGCGGGTCTGCAAACTGCGACGCTGGCCAAGTGCTCAGGGAGGGCGGTGGAACTGGAAAATATAACTCGTCGCGGACGGACGTTTTCCCCGTCCGGCTACGCCCAGGGCAGGTTTTAACAGTGTTGCATGCGCTCACGAGCTCCCACTCGGGCACTCCGCCGCAGTGCTTTTACCGCAGAGTGGCGCAGCGGCGAAGGGATCGCTCGATCAGCCTTTTGCGGACCGAGACAGACATGGGTCACAGCACGGTCACATGGGCAGTGTTTGTATCTCGTCGTCATATGGGCGGCTGGGAATTTGGCAGCTCTGCCTTGGGGTTCGGGGTGCTGAATGTTGGGCGAGCGAGCGAGCGCGGAACTCCGTGCCGGTTACGAAGACGGCATGGACTCGTGCCGCTGCTACAGCGGACCTGCCTTCGGGGGGGGGGGGGACCAGACCGTGGAAAGCCGTGAGCCGGCTTGCGGTTCTTGGACGTGCATTGCGTTCTGCTCATTTGGTTCGCTACTGTAGCGTGCGCTGTTGCATTTTTCGTGGCTGCTAGTGGGGAAGATTGCACGAGGTCGGAGAATGGAGATCGCTTCCTTCCTGCAAAAAAAAAACATTGTTTGATTGACTCGTCAGCGTGATTTCAAGGCAGCTGGGAACGAGATCTGCAAGTGCTGGGAGCTCGATCACATGCGTGTGTGTCAGCAGAAAGTACTAGTCCTTGTGTGCTCCAGTGTTCTCCATCGTGGCACATGTCAGCTCACGTTGTATAGCCTTTTGGATTCGGGTATCTCAACTTTTGTGATTGTTCGACACCCAGCTCCGCGTCAGCGATGCCAAGTCGCATCACATAGATCGCCCCCGTCGCCTAGCCTCCTGTCCAGTACGAGTACGCGGTGCACGGTCATATGTGCAGGACGGCCGCTGCCGTCGTTATCGTTACATGGCACTGGCAGTACGGGAAAAAAGACAGTAAGCACTGGTGCGACGTCGGCTCTGAACGACAACACGGGCTCAATTCGCTTGCATGTAAAAACGAGCCGAAATAATGTTCCGACGGATTTGTTGTGAGAAAAAATACTATTTCGATTAAAAAAATAAGCTACAAAATATGGATTATAAGAGAAGTGAACATGTCCATGTACGGTATGGTTCTCCTCTAACACTGTACTTCAGGACTCAAAAGATAGGCCCCGCTGATAAATTGAGCCGAAATACTGTACCGGATAATTTGTCATGAGAGAAAAATATTATTCTTACTAAAAAACAAACTAAAAAATACGGATTATAAGACAAACGAACGGGGCCAGAGTGTACTACTTCTGTAAAACAATGTACTATAAATCACACTGTTCGACCAATCAATCATCTCAACTTTAATAATCAAATATAAAAAGCAACTTTTGTGCTCATACCCCTACTTTGAGTTTGATGATGATTTTACCCTTATTTTTTTTACTTTATGATTTCACCCTTGTGTTTTTTAACTTAAGAATAAGTGTTGACAGCAAAAAGAAATGTACCAACACGTGCAACGGGCTCCACAACGAGATTCCTGGCATTAAGACAATCTAGAACGATATCACACTGTTTGAGCAATCAATCAGGGTTTTGGCTTTAATAATCAAATTGGCCTAGCCGGAAAAGCAACTTTTGTGCTCAGGTCGGTTTCTCTACTTCGAGTTTGATAATGCCAATCGGCCCTACCTTCAGAAGTTTTTTTTACTTTATCGATGTTCAAGGCTCCTTTCACGTCGGAAGTTTTTAACTTAAGAACAAAGTGTTGACTCATTTCCAAAAATGAGTTTCTGTACCAACACGACAAAGTGGCTAGATCCACAACAAGATTGGTTTGGGATCAAGACAATCTAGAACGATGCGCTTTGAGTTGTAGCAAAGAAAGAGGGTTTTGATGTGGGAAACTTACAAATTATGTCTTGAGTATGTTTCCAACTAAGAAAAAACAACTACCTCTATATATATTGAAGGATCACAGGCGATTGTGAATTCCAACATCCAATCGATCCAAAACACATCTACTACCTTTTTATCCTAACTTTTCCAATCCACTTCTGTTCGGCACATTTCTCAACAAGATTCGGCAACGTTCTAGATGGCCTTGCTGATCCTATGACAACCTTCGCGTGCATCTCCCCGACAGGTCTTCTTGGGACGTGTTCTCGAGCTCTTCAAGTGAAGAATGGGCCTCAAATCGGCTCTACCGACCCGCCAATCAGTCTTGCTAATCTTGTGGTGTACTCGTTGCGTGACGTGTGCAACCTCAGGAGTGCTAGCCCTTGCTGGTGTGTGATCCATGTAAGTGCATCTAGCCCTTTAGTGGGTTTTGGTGAATTGAATGACAACACCATTAAAGGTATAACAAGTTTGCTAAGTGTTAAACAACTAGTCCCCGAGCCCTTGTATCCGCTGAGCAACACCGTCTTGAGCTTGTCTGAGTAGTTGAACATGTAGCTGGTCAATAGAAGCAGGCGTTCGACCAGTTTAACTGGGAGCCGAGCTGTTGAATCAAGCATCCGACCAGTTGAACTAGTAGCCGAGCTGTTAAATTGAGCATCCGACTAGTTGAACTGATAGCCGAGTTGTTGAATCGAGCATCTGACCAGTTGAATTGGGAGACGAGCTGTTGAATCGAGCGTCCGACCAGTTTAACTGGGAGTGAAATTGATTTTATTGCATACACTTGTGGATTGTGGAATGAGAAGTGAATATAGGTTCAACAAGAAGGCAAACTTGATGATATTCACATACTGTTCAAATCAAGGTCAAAATTGTGTATTGTTGTGTTGGAAGATCACGAAAACAATATAGTTCAAGAGAAAGACAACAATGCAAATGGAGTTGATGAAATGGCTTCTATGTTAAGGAATATCATAGTATCATGAGAAAGCAAGCATATTTGGCAAATGTTAAAAGAGACATGAGTTGATGATTTTGGATTGGCCTCAATAATGGCTTGCTTTGTATGAACAAGAAGAGTTTGATAGTAGATTAACTTTGATCAAGGATTAAAGGATGAGTCAAGAATATATAAGTGAAGAAATACCAAGCAAAGGTTTAAATGATAAAAGACACAACTCATATTGGATATAAGTCGGTCTCTGTGTTGGTTTGGTTGTATGGATAAAGATTTGGAAAATCACTTTGCATTGATTTGATCAAGCTAGAAGTATGAAGATAGATATTGAAGTGAGTATTAGGAGCGTTAAAACAAGATGAAGATGATATAAGGAATCATGAATTGGCTTGACCATATTGATGTTGATTCATATATGTCTTTATGTGAATAAAACTAAAGCTTGATTGATCTCAACATTCATATCTAGAAGATATTCAAGCAAGGATCATACTATTGAAGAAATGGTTTTTCAATGGATGCTGAATATGATGTGACTTGTGTATGTCTTGATAAGGTGAAGATAGCAAGGAAAGGGCTTCGAGGGACTAAGCGAAGATGAAGGGCAAGCGATGGCTTGAGGACCGAGGTACCATGGCTAAGGTGAAGAAGAGAGTACTTTTATTGAGTCGAGGAACTAATCAAGCTATAAGGAGTCATATTATGTTGAGGATCAAATCATTAGTAGAAGTGACTTGAAGCCATGAGGTGAACTCATATGTATGGAAATGGTTCAAGTCACATGCTCAAGATATGTTTGCTCGAAGAAATGAGATAAAGATATTTGCAAAGCCTTTATGAAGTGATATTGAGAAAGAGGATAATACATGTGATGGTGGAAACCCCCAATTATAAAAGGATATGGTGACCAACTCAAAGGTGTTTAAATTCTTTGATGTTTTGAATTTGAGTTTAGGAAAAGTCGTAATATAAAGAGGGATACAATGCACAAGCTTTAATGTGCAACCAAGTGCTCATTTACCCACTAAATATCCTTAAAGCCTCAGCCAAGACAACAAGCTTTGCAATGCTATCTTTTGTGCTGCCTGTCAGGTGAGGCACTGCCGCGCTAAAGTGAGGGCACTGTCGTGATTGAACTGACAGTTGGGAGCAGGGGTTATTTATACCCCTTCTCTTCCTCCCCAACAGCTCTCTGGAACCTCCTACTCATTCCAGCTCATCAAAAATAGAAAAGCTGCTGCTCTCTCTTCCTCACTCACCATTAGAGACCCTTAAGCTTCTCCCTTTGATTCCCTTCCAAATCCAAGAGAGTTTGAGCCTCCAAACTGCATCAGAGAGCAGCCCCAACTGTTCTTCATCTCCTAGAGCACTTGGTTCGAGTTCAAGCCAATGGATTGTGTTTGTTACTCTTGGAGCTTGCTCCTAGCCGGCAAGAGCATCGCCCGTGGAGCTTGCCAACTTGTGTGGCAGCCCCAGGACATTTGTAATCACCCCAATCATCTAGTGAAATCACCCCTCATCTTAAGAGTTCATTCTCTTGACTTGAGAACGAGGATAAGGTTGAAAGAGACCAAAGCCTTTGTGGCTACCTCAACAACGTGGAATAGGTAAGCCTTAGTGGCGAGCTGAACCACGGGATAAATCGGTGTGTCACTTGTGTTCTTGTGATTTGCATTGCTATACTTGTATTTGTGGTGATTCTAGGGTTTGGTTCCGATCTACTTGCTCGTGCACTTCCGCCAACATCTTGGTGGTGGAATAGGCTCTACACTATCCTAGGAACATCAGTAATTTGCTCGATCTACTTTTCCTTGGGCAGTTTTTGAATTATAGTTCGAGCTTGTCTGCAGGAGCAGCGGTGCTACACTTTTAGTGAGGCAGTGTCGCAGTGTGGCAGTGCTGCACCTTGGGAGCAGTAGTGCCACACCTACAATTTAACTTTCACTACGAGTTTGTTTTAAACA